CTGCTCTCCTGGGCCCTGAAAAAGAAGGGCTTTGAGTGGGAAAAAGGTGAAGCAAGGAGACAAGGATGAGGCCTGACTAGTCCTCATTTTATCTGCAAGTAGGGCAGCTTTCCTGCAAATGATCTTCTGGTCACCTTCACACAAGCAGGTCTTGGTGAGAATTGCTAAGGTTCAGAAAGGGGACAGCCAAACACGTCCCAAGAGAAGGGAAAGGCTTTTTGCAGGTGTTATAACCCTGCTTTTCCAGCAGGGGGTGCCCTGTCCCGGCAAAATGCAAGTCTTTTTTTTTCCTTATGCCCTTCTTCTGGCCAAGGAGACTGGATTCCCTTGACACTGATGGGGGTTAATCTGTGCTTGCGGCTAGGCAAAGAAGGCCCCAGGGGGGCATAACAGTGCTTAGAATCTGGTGTCCTGTTTAGGAAAGATAGATCAATCTGGAGCTGAAAGCCCCCATCACTTCGAAATGTAAGACTAAATTTGACCTTGCAGAAAGCAGAGCTCATGTGTGAGAGAGCAAGGAAGGAATGAGTGAGAGAGCGAGCAAGAGCTGGGTGAAAGCAACCGGGAGCAATGGGGATGAAGTCTAGGGCCTAGTAAGAGTGTTTTTGGAAATATAATACCAGGGAGACAAAGATTGGAAACTCAGGCTGTCCATCCCAAAGCAGAGCACTTGGTCCCCTTCATTTAGACACTGAGTGCAGACTAACATTTAATCTAAAATTGTTCCACAATTCCTAAGCAACACCCATTCGCTTGTACTTTATAGATACAGACCCCTAACTGGAAGAAACTGGGTTATGCAAGGGTTGCTAAGGAACGAGGGGAGATGCAGAAGGTAAGGCAGGGGTTGCTTAGTAACCAGGAGTCCCTTGGTGATGAAGTGGCCAGAGCTGGTCTGGAACTGATGAGAGGGTCTGTGGACAGTCATCCCACACCAGAACCTCCCAGAAACTCATGTCTGTTGGTCTCTTGACTCAGGGCTGCCAGGGCCAGCCTCTCTTCCATCTCCCTGACACTGTACCACATGAAATGTGCACCCCAGGTCCCCCAGTGTCTGGCTAATTCCTTGCTCCAACCACCCCCTGCCTCCCGCTCCCAGTAGGAAGTTGATCAGGTTCCTAGATTTAGGGAGGAGCAGGGCTACCCATGGGGGCTGGTGAGCAAACTGGCATCTCACACTGGGAGGTGGGGTGCAGGAGCTTCTGGCCTAACACAGATGCAGAACTGGTAAACCTAGGGTTTAGATGTAGGATGGCGCCCTCAACAAGCACGTCATATTTTTCCAGTCACAAGGAAATGTCTAATATTGAGTACCCCATGCCCGGTCTTCATTCTGCCTCCACACTATCTATAGTGGCCCACCTTTCTTTTCCTGAGGGCTGTTATGAGGACATGGATCCCACAGCAGCTGCCTGGCCTGGGGTCTATGTGGCCTCACTTCAGGTAGCTTCACTCCAGCGTGGGCTTGGGCACAGTTGAGGCATGCAGAGCCTCAAGCTACTTTCTCAGGGACGTGTCCCTGTACGTGTTCTCTGTACTCCAGGCATACAAGTGTCCCTGCTCTCTCCCAAACACGCAGGGCATTTGCATGGCTCCATGGCTCCATGGCTCCATGGCTCCATTCTGTTCCCCTGTTGTTGTTGTTATGTGCTGTCCCTAGATGAAGCATTTGCTGCTTCCCCTGTCAAAAACCTCCTCAACCTTCCAGGTCCTTTTTATACACGACTTCTTTAGTGATGACTCCCCAGCCCACTGGATCTGAACTTTACTGAGCTTCCATGGACTTCAGGCATTGGGAGGGCTCTGGGGCCCTAGAGGGACAGAGCGGAGTACTCTGGTATTGGTGGCCTCCTCATTTTTGGTCCTTTCCTTCCTCCACTACATGGTTAAGATACTCCTAGAAAATCTTTGTGAATTGAGTGTTTATAAATGGAAAGCTTGTTGCTGAAAACAAAACCCTCTGCATGGATCATCTCTGACAAAGTATTTGAGACCCTGCCTGGTAAGTTTGCCTCTGAAGAGACTGAAAGATTTAGTTTTTGTTGTATCCCCTTCTGAATTGCTTGAATTTTAAAATTTACCATGAGCAGGTAGTCTTTATTTTTTCTTAACTTTCTAATTGTGAAACATAACACGTAAATAATATATATGATACATATGTGTGTAATAATGGCATGTTTTGTCAGTATCAGATCACCTTGTCTGACTTCGCAAGGGGGAGGAGAGAATCAAGATGAACATCAGCCCATGGGTTTTTCCTATGAGGTAGAGGTCAAAAAGACTCCACCTTCCAACCATTTCACCACTTCTGGCACCAGCTGTCCCTTGCACAGCACTCTCTGCTTCTCTGCTGGGTTTGATAATTTGTTGCAATGATCACATAAAACTCACAGACAATACTCATGATTATGGGATTTACTAGGGAAGTTAACAGGTTACAATTCAGAATCAAGAACAACCTAGGATACAGTCGGTTGGTAAAGCTTTTTGGCCACACCTGTAGGCAGGCCTTGTCCTTGGCCTCTGGGCCCCTGGGCCCCTGGACCCTTCAGCATGGCCTCTGCCCTGCTTCATCAAGTGTTTCAAAGCTCTTTAGCTGTATCAGTAAGTGCCCAGAGGTACTCCTCTACCAGGAAGTCGCCTGCCTGAAGGCACTCAGCTCTCTCCCTCCATGGGTCAGCAATTGACAAATGCCCAGAGTCACCCTACCCTGACAGGAAGCCTTTGCCCAAAGGTTCTCAGCTCTTGCTCCGCGGGTGAGCATGCTCACTGAAATCACCCTACTCCATGGGCGGGAAGCCGACCTGCCATCTCGTGCCAGTATCCTAGCTCTGCTGCTCTCAGTTCTTTGCTGCTGCTTCTTGCTGTCTTCCACCATCTCCAGTGTTACAGTTCTCTGTGTGTGTGTCTCCTGAGTCTAGGAGGTTCTCAGGGCAGGGATCTGGGTCCAAAGGACATTCTCTCCTCCCAGATCTTCTTTGTTTATGTTAGTGAGGTCATCTCTTCCTGCCTCTGGAATGGCTCATTTTAAGCCTAGTGTAATGGCAAAACTGCTTGATCCCCTTGTTAATGTACCATACAGCTTTTATGCATGGTGTCACCCCCCACAAAGGTGCCATGTACTTTATTTGCATTATTAGCAAGCTGTTCAAACCATTTGGTGGGCCACAAGCACCTTACTTGCCTAGTCACATATAATCATTTTGTGGGAGTTACAAGACCATGGAGAGAAAGGTAATGTAAAAATGATCCATGGCACCACAATGTATACGTATGTGTGTATAACATATATGCGTGCATATATACACACATACACATATGTGTACAGATAGATAGATAAAGTGTTTAAGCCATGTAGCCATCACTTTGGTCAGCATGGCAGAAGCCCCTTGGTGTGCCTCTCCCTAATCATAACTAACCTTCCTTTTACCCCAGAAATACCCATTCTCTGGTTAAGGCATATGGCTGCTAACCAGAAGGTCAGCAGTTCAAACCTACCTTCTGCTCTGCAGAAGAAAGGTGAGGCAGTCTGCTTCCTTAAAGATTTACAGCCTTGGAAATCCAATGAGGGTTGCTGCAAGTCGTAACAGACTTAACGGCAGCAAGTTTGTTTTTGACTGTTATATAGTCGTTGCCTTGCTTTTCTCTGCAGTTTGACTGCCAGTTTGCATTCATAAATAACAGTAACAGACTTGGTTTGACTTTTTTTTTTTTAAGCAAACAGAAACTCATTTTTCACAGTCTGGGAGGCTAGAAGTCTGAACTCAAGGCACTGGCTCTAGGGGAGGGCTCTCTTTCGGTTGCCTCTAGTGGAGTGCCTCTCTTTTCAGCTTCTGTTCCTCAGTTGCTTGCTAATCTTTATGTGGCCTGGCATCTATCCCAACTGCGTTTCCTGCTTTGGCTGGTTTTGAACCTTGTATATGCAGAATCACAGGTCCGTGGGTAATGGAAATGATTTGTACTCATGTACTGAAAAGGATGGCGCTTTGAATCCACACATGGAGCCACGGAGGAAAGCCCCGGCAACCTGCTTCAGTAAAGATTACAGTCAAGAAAACCACATGGAGCTCAGCTGTACTCTGTAACACATAGCGTTGCCATGAGTTGGAATCAGCTTTCAATGGCAGTAGATTTGGTTTTTTGGTTCAATGTAGAATCCCACAATAGGAATTCTTTTGTGCCTCGCTTCTTTCACTCAGTGATTTCTTTTTAGACTTATTTATGCTATTCAGTGTAGCTGCCATTCACTCATTTTCAATGCTGTATAGTATCCCATTAAATACGTGTGACACTATTTATCTATCCAGTATACGGTTAATGGACGTTTGGGCTTGTTTCCAGTTTGGGACTCTTACAAAGGGTGCTGCTGTGAACACTTGCATACCATCTCTTGTGCACACATGACCACAGTTCTGCAGGGTAAGAAACTGCAGGGTCAGAGCACTGTATTCTCAGTTTCCGCAGAGAATGCCAAACTGTTTTCCAAAGCAGTTGAACTTGGAGGGATCCAGCAGTGTATGAGAGTTTCTACAATCACTTTTACGAATAGAAACAGTTAATTGAAATTAAAAATTGGCATAACTATTTATTTGGTAGCTGGCATACTCATTGGACAGAACAGCTGCATGGACGGAGGTGGATCTGTAGTTCCGGCATCTAATGCCCGGTGCCCGGCATGTTGTAAGCACCCAGAGCTCGAGTATGGAATCAATGGAAAAATAATCCTTGTCTACTGACTGGTGGGTTTCACATTCTCATCTGTCCATTTTATAAATAGGGAGACTTCCTGGAGATATTTCCTAGCCTGGCTCATGTGTTTGGAATTTACCACGGCTGGCCTGACTGTTCCCCACTCTCTGCTGCTGTGTGCCCCGTCTGTCTCGAGGAGTTGGGGGATACATTATCATCATGCTCACTGAATCATGGTGTCAGAGATAAGTGGAGTTGATTCTTTCCCCCAGGGCTGAGTTCAGCAGTAAGAAGACCAAATGTTGCCTGCCATGTTCCAAGCAGTGGCCAAGGTCTCCTCGGGCCGATTTTGTCCGTGCATGGGCCTCTTTGTGAGGAGCAACAGCAGTCGGACAGACCAACGGGGCATCCTGGCCAATAGAGTAGCTGTGGTCACAGGGTCCACTTATGGGTGAGTGCCCTGATTGTTTCTTGACCTTCTCATTCTGACCCTGGTTTTCATGGAAGGATCTCTGGGTCGTGAGAGCAGGACACAACCTTCCTTGTTGACTTCTGGGGTTCGGTAGAGGAAGAATGGTGGGGAAAAGTTGATGATGTCTTGCCTTCTCCATCTCCACCTGCAGGATCGGCTTCGCTATTGCTCGGCGTCTGGCCCAGGATGGTGCCCATGTTGTCATCAGCAGTAGGAAACAGCAGAACGTGAACAAGGCAGTGGCGATGCTGCAGGGGGAGGGGCTGAGCGTGGCAGGCACCGTATGTCATGTGGGGAAGGCTGAGGACCGGGAACGGCTAGTGAACTTGGTGAGGGGCCACAGGGGTAGAAGGACAGAGTGAGGAGAACACACAGATCCTTACCATCCCTGCTCAGCCCTGGGAGGGATAAGGGTGGGGCTGGGGGCTTCAAGTTCTAGAACAAGTCCAGAGACCATGATTGCTCATAGTCTATTTGAGCAGACCTGGTTGGTCACAATAGCTTTCTGGTCACAATGTCCTGTACACAGGAGGACCCTCATCCCAACCCCACACCCTGGAGAACTACAGTTGAGGAGGGGTCTAACTGAAAAAGAACTTCTCCTGAGGCCTCAGCACTGGGGGGTCTGTCCTTGGGCCTGTTAGGGATACTTTCCTTTACCCTGAGTTTGGTTTTCACAGGAGCTACATGACCATTCAAAGGGCATGCCTGGCTAGCAAGTTCTGCCTGAGTGCTCCACATGTCTGAGCTACTCTGGGCAGATAAGGTCCTCTCCAGCCATTTCCACACTCATCCAAACCCCTCCTGTTGGCCTCTCCCCACAGGCCCTGGAGCACTGTGGTGCTGTTGACTTCCTAGTGTGTAATGCTGCGGCCAACCCTGTGGTGGGGAGCACTCTGGGAGCCAGTGAGGAAGTGTGGGACAAGGTGAGGCCTCTGCCACCACATCCCCCTAAAAAAAACCCTCTCCTCCCCTCTGGGTGTTACTGTAAAATTAGGTACTAGACAGCAGTCTTGCCCACCAACCCCAGAAGGCCATATCTTGATGAGCTTGTTTTTAAACCTGCTTCCTACTGCCTTTCTGCATTCTTTTATCTTCCCATATCTTTGTATTTATTTATTCAGCAAATATTTATGGAGTGCTTGCTATGTGCCAGGTACTGTTGCAGCCTCTGGGGATATAGCAGTGAATGTATAGTAAGTCTTCATGCTCTGTCAGAGTCAACAATCTGTATCTAAATGCACCCTTTTGCAGGGGCATATGCTGGTAGCAGGAGCTCTAGTGGCATAGTGCCTAAGGCACTTGACTGCTAACCAGAAGGCTGGTGGTTCAAACCCACCAGGCACTCCTTGGAAGGAAGGTTGGGCAATCTGCTTCTGTAAAGATTTACTGCCTCAGAAACCCAAGGAGGGATCACTATGAGTTGGAATCAACTTGATGGCAGTGAGTTTTTTTTTTGGTTTATTTTGATGGCTGTGGTCCTCCTTGGTGACCCCTGTTTGCTGCAGTGATTCTCTGCCTTTCCTAGATTAGGGCTCCTCACTGTCTCTCAGATAACCCTGCTGACTTGTTGGGACTGGAACCCCCATCAGCGTCTTGGAGGCTCAGCCATACCAACCCGCTATAAGTCCACTTAACAGTTCTGCCACCTTTTCCACAAGGGTCCAGGAGAAACCTTGTAAAATGCCTTGAAGCCCATCTTGGGCTTAGTTATTTTTTAATACCTGTTCTGTTTATGTCTCATTCCCTATTTCTCCTGATGATCAAGTCCCAATTTTTCTGCCATTGTTAGCCTTTCCTGGTCTGCCCTGAGCCTTTCTTCCTTGCTGTCCTTAGTTTGTTCTGCCCTCTCAGCTCTCTGAGCTCTTTTGCCCTCAGTGTTGCCAGGCTAGCCCCTCCTTCCCATCTACCCTTGGCTCTGTGCCCTTCAGTCCATTCTCAGAGATGACCTGAAATCCAAGCTCCCTGCAGCAACTGCGGAGCAGCTTCACCAGGCTCTTGAGCTGCGTTTTTACTGCCTCCTAGGAGGATCATCGTTTGTGATTATGCAGCTGGGATTTCATTGCTGACATTCTCCTGGTCCTCCTGAGTCATTTTCCTTTCTAGTGTCTCAGTTCATGGGATCCTGACTCTTTTTCTTGGAACAATTTGAAAACCCCCCTCCTGAAGCTGGAGGCACGCTCTAACACCAACCTTGCTTTCTCTGGTGCTCCCTTATTCTCCAGAGACTTGACACTCAGCAAGAAATTCCACACCATTGGACAGAAATAGTTGATGAGGTAATTGCCCCCCAATTTTTTTTCTGCTACCACCTCAGAGGCGAATTGTCACAAAATGAGTTTAGAATTTATCAGAAGCTCTGCTTTTAACTAGATGCAATTTTCAGTGGGAGTCCTGTGCGGGGACTTTTCTGTCACTCAGCTTATCCTTGGACCAGTATTGGGACCTTCCCCAGGCAGACCACTATTCTCTCCAGCTGGTTGGGAGATCTATAATCTAACTACATAGCTACATCTCCCCAACCCTCTCCTTCACCCAAGGCCTCTGCACCCTCCTGTAAGCTTGTGGAGCCCTTCTCAGTCCTTCTTGGCGCACAGAGTTCCTCTTCCTGCTTTCCTAATAGGGCAATTTTCCTCACCTTCCCTGTGGCATAGCTCATGTCTGGCCTCTGAGTCTAGGAGGAGCTTCTTCTCATGCATAGTCTGATGCACACAGAGCTCTGAGCAGACATCTGTGGGCTGGTGGGGCTCCGTTTTTTTTTTTTTTTTAAATTTTTATTGTGATTTGGGTGAAAGTTTATAGAGCAAATTCATTTTCCATACAGCAGTTCATACACATTTTGTTTCATGACAAACCAAAACAAACTAAACTCACTGCCGTTGAGTTGGTTCCGACTCATAGCAACCCCTCCTTGGGTTTGAGGTGGTATCTCTATGGAAGTAGATCTCCCAATCTTCCTTCTGAGGAGTGGCTGGTGGGTGGGTTTGAACCTCCAGCCTTCTGGTTAGCAGTCAAATGCCTTAGGCACTATGCCACCAGATTGACTGCAATTCCCCACAATGTAACAGCTCTCTTCCCACTTCCTCCCTGTAGTTACCTCTCTCTCTCTCTCTTTTTCTTTTTTTTAAATTATTTATTTATTTTTATTTTTGTAGTGTTTCCTCCCCCACCCCACCCCTGGGAACCAACAAAGAAAGTTTCCTTCCATATATAAACCTTTCTTTGACTTTTTACAATAGTGAACTAATACAATATTCGTCTTTCTGTGATTGACTTACTTCAGTGAGTGAAACGTCCTCCAAGTTCATTCACCTTATGCGGTGTTTTGCAGATTCCCTGTTCTTATCTCTTCCCTGTGTCCTACTTTCCTATGCACTCTTGCCCTTTTCCCTCCAGCTGTCTCCCTGTGCAAACAATGCCCTTCTGTTCTCCCACGATTGATTGCTCTAAGGAGTGTATCTATCTGATGTAAATGTTCACCCTATATGCCTGTCTATTGTTTGGCTGGAAGCCACAGGAGGGAGTTCAATTTCAGACCTGAAGGGTAACTAGGGGCCATAGTTTGGGGTGTCTGACCAGGCTCTATCAGACTAGTAAACCTGATCTTTTTCTTATGATTTTGAATTTTGTTCCATTCTATTCAGGATCTCCTGTACTAATCCCTTTCCAAGTGATTGACAGAGGTATCTGGAAAAGATTCAGTTCTTCTGGTCTCATGGTCATATAGGCTGAGGATCATATCCTCTACTAGTCTCTTAGACTAATTGTTTCCATGCATCTTTGGTTTTCTTCATTCTTCTTTGCTCTGGACAAGGAGAGACACATTGTTGTATCTAGGTGGCTGCCTGCAAGCTTTTAAGGTCCTAGTTACTACTTACCAAAGAAGGACGTAGAACAAAGTTTTTTGTGTAGTATGTTATGTCAATTGAGCTTGATGTCCTCTACAACCACGGTCCTGAGCCCACAGGCCTAAGTATTTGCTCCCACAGGATGGTAGACTGTGGCCAAGAGGTGGGGCTCTACTTTGAACAGAGTGATCAAAGAGCGCTTAGCCTAGCCCTCAATTCCTCCTTATTGGTGACCCCATAAGGAGCTCTGGTGGTATAGTGGTTAAGGCATTTGGCTGCTAACTAAAAGTTTGGTTTGAACCCACTAGCCACTCTCCAGAAGAAGGATGAGTTGATCTGCTTCTGTACAGATTTGTAGCCTTGGTTGTGGTCACTGCTTTGTCACAGCCAGCTACCCAGAGGGACTGAGTAGTTGAACCTGTGGGCTTGGGGCCATAGTCGCAGGAGACATCAAGCTCCATTGGCATAACATACTATACAAAACATTGTTCCACCTCCTACTTTGGCAAGTAGCGACTTGGATCTTAAAAGCTAGCAAGCTGCCATCTAGATGCAACGATGGGTCTCTCCTCATCCATAGCAAAGAAGAATGAAGAAAGCCAAAATTCATGGAAACAGTTAGTCCTAGAGACTGGTACACCATCCGATCTGCAGCCTATACAACTATGAGACCAGAAGAACTAGATGGTGCCTGGCTACAACTGTCATCCACTTGGAAGGGGTTCTATGTAGGAGATCCTTGATAGAGAGGGAGAACAATGTGGAACAAAACTCAAAAATAATTTGGAGAAAAAAAAAAAAAGGTGGGAACCGGGTTTGCTGGTCCAATAGAGCCTGGTGGAACCACTGAGACTATGGCCCCTAGCTACCCTTCAGGTCTGGAGTTGAACCCACATCTGTGGTTTCCAGCCAAACAAAATACAAGCATATGAGTTAAACATTTACCTCAAGTAGATACACTCCTTGGAGAGAACAATCATGGGAGAAAGAAGGGCTGCTTATGCACAGGGAGACAGCTCATGGGGCAGGAGTATATAGAGGGATGGATACTGGGAAGAGGTAACTATGGGGAGGAAGTGGGAGGGGAACTGTTGCATTGTGGTAAACTGTGATCAATGACATGAGACAAAGTATATGTGAACTGCTGTATGGAAAGTGAATTTGCTCTGTAAATCTTCACCCAAATCTCACACACACACACACACACACACACACACAAAAGATTTGTAGCCTTGGAAACCCAATGGGGGTTGCTATGAGTCAGAATTGACTCAATGGCAGTGAGGTTTTTTTTTTTTTTGCATGATGACCCCATGGTGATCCCCTTTTGAACATCCTAGCCACTTGCAGTCTCAGAGGTCATCCCAACAATGGTATCTGGTCATGACAAGGGTTATGGAAGCCCAGCTGAAACATTTTCCATTGCCTGCCACGAAGGGGGTAAGTGGGTGTGAGATGAAAGGTGGAAGGATGGAAAAACTGTGGATAGGCCTGGTCAGTTTTAGATGTATGACCTCATTCCTAGAAAGGCAGGACACAGCTGACCTCAGTAAACATCACCCCTGACTCCAGGACCCACAGGAGGTGTCCCGGGTGCCCCTTTAGTGTTAGCCCAGCTAACACTTATCTGAGCTCCTGGGCTCAGCCCCTGCCTCCTTTTCTCATTTCTTCTCTGTTCCTAGACCAATGCTATCACTAAGGGAGTGTAGGGGGTGTGAACCATGCTGGGTGAAACCGTCAGAGAGGATGACACCAAAATTATTGCCTACAAAATTTTTGTGTAGTATTTCAGCAGAAATTTATTATTTTAAATAAAAATATATCTGTAGTTAGCTTTAACAACAAAAATATTTTTCGTAAGCCCGCTGACTTGCGTCAATATGCTTACAAGGCTAAAACTCTGTTCTAATTTACTTTTTGAATGTTCTAATGTGCTCTGGTCAGAGCTGTCATTATTATCCAATTACAATGATGCTTTGAATCACAGTTTCATCTGCATTTGCTACATCCTACAAGCACAGGCTATTGCTGCCAGTGTTTTTAGGGTTGTTGATTTTGTCAAATATTCTGGTGTTTTAGCTACAGTGTTGTGGTAATTAGTATTCATGAACCTACATCAGTAACTTTTTTGAGAATGAAGTAGTAATTAAAGGCAAAGAAGGAGAAAAACTGAAAAAGACTTCTGCTCAATTACTAATAATATTGTAGTTGAGAATGTAATTCAATGTAGAAAGATTTTACAAAATAATTTTGTTGCTAGTATTCATATAATCTAAGAAATTACATTTAAGCAATTTACAACTATATTTATCACATATTATTCTGTGATTAAAATAAATAATAAACATTACCAAGGATTCTGTATGATCTGGTATGAGAGGAGGTCCATGGGAGGTATTATACCATGAGTTACTGCACTGGGTGGTACTAGCCCTAGTGATGCTACTGCCCCTAATCTTAGACAGAGTGTCAGGGTCCCTTATGTCTGAGCCCAGGTCCAGGCTTTAGTCACAGGCAAGATTAGCACAGTCACCTAGCTCCAGAATGATAATCTCTGTGGTGCATCCCTCTCTGTACTGGCACTACAAAGCTCTGAGCTGAGTCTGCGGCGCACTAGCACATGTGTAGGCTCCCCCAGCATTCATTTTTAAAAAAATTTTTTTATTGTGATTTGAGTGAAGATCATACAGCCAATTCATCTTCCGTACAGCGATTCCTACACATTTTGTTTCATGACATTGGCTACAATCCCCACAATTAACAGCTCTCTTCCTACTTCCTCCCTGTAGTTACCTCTTCCCCGTGTCCTTCTTTCCTATACATTCTGGCCACCTGAGCTATCTCCCTATGCAAACACTGTTCCCAGCATTCATTTTTTTTTTTTTTTTTCTAATTGTGATTTGGGTGAAAATTTACAGAGCAAATTCACTTTCCATACAGCAGTTCACATACACTTC